GTGTCGCACACAACTTTTGTCACACACAACTTTTTCACACACATTTCTCTCACATGCAACTTCTCTCTCACACACATCTTTGTCACACACAGCTTTGTCACACACACAACTTTGTCACACACAACTCTTTCACACACAGCTTTGTCACACACAACTCTCTCACACACAACTTTATGCAACTTTGCCACAGGCAATCTTTCACACACAACTTTGGCACACGCAATCTTTTACACAACTTCGTCACTCACACACAATCTTTCACACACAGCTTTGTCAGGAAATACTTTGTCATACACAACTCTTTCACACACGCAACTTTGCCACAGACAACGTTTCACACACACACAACTCTTTCACTCACAATCTTTCACGCACACAACTCTTTCACATTTCACTCACAACCTTTCACACGCAACTCTTTCACACACAACTTTGTCACACACAACTCCTCACATACAACTCTCAAAATGATCGACCCTCCACCATCTCCTTTTTCCTTTCTTCTTTCTCCGTGCCACTTCAACCACTTTTTCTGATGATTGGATGAAGTTGACTTGTGGGGCTATCCGGTCCTTTAATTCAATCTTTGCCTGTGCTTTTTTTCTCCAAAAAATTGTCCCGCAGGAACACGTGCAGGAAACTTTTTCATCATCTCTGTGGAGCCACTGAAGGCGTGCAGCTTTGAAGGCGCCACTAGATGACACTCTGACAAGGCCAGCGGCGCATTCCTTTGTGTACAGCCCAATGGAACCGAAAATTTGTTGGAGACCAGGCTTTCGATGCAACGCAACTGTCGTTTTTTGGCAGGTATTGCGTCCAAGGGAGTTCTGGCAATGCATCGTTTGTCTGATGCAGCCAAGGGCCAAGAGCTTGCTAACATACACATAAGAAAGCCAACAGCGTAGCATCAAGAGCGTGGAACATAAACATAGGTTAGGATTTCCAACAGCGTCGCATCAGCAGCGTCTTAACACACACATAAGAAAGTCAAGAGGGTACCACCAACAGCGTGTTAGCAAACACACTAAAAAGTCATCCGCGTATAATCAAAAGCGTGTTAACATAAACATTGGGATTCCAATAGCGCAGCATCAACAACGTGGTGGCATAAACACAAGAAAATCAATAGCGTACCATCAACAACATTCAACAACGCGTTATATAACATAAACGTAAAACAGTCAACAGCATACCATCAGGAATCCTGAGGGCGTAGCATGAAAAAGTGGCTGACAAGAGGCCTGAGTAGTGAAGTTTAAAAGCGTAACATGATAGGCGGGGTGAGAACGTTAGTATCGCTCTACCCCACCCTGCCCACCCCGCCCCCCGAACCCCACCCAAACCAGAAAAGGGAACATAACAGATACACAAAATGCGTCACGTTGAAACAATTGAAAAGTAACAAGAAACCCCCATTAAAAGAAAACAAGGCAAAACATGAACCGCAAAAACAAAATGAAAACTCACAGTTTCGAGACATCAACAAACGCAAAAATCCCACGCGCCTGCGAGCGAAACTGAAACTGAAACTTTTTCAACAATCGCAAAACATTGCGCCTGCCACGCAAAATGAACGTGCCGCTCAATGAAGAAAAAATCAGCACAACCATAAACCACGGAAACAATATGAAACAATCATAAACAAATCACACTTTCAACACATGAAAAACGCGAGAATCCCACGCGCATGTCAGGGAAAATGAACATGACAGTTTTACAACCATCGCAAAACACTGCACTTGCCACGCAAAATGCACGTGCTCAAATTCATTGGTGGGTGCAGGTTAAAATGCATTTCGTCCGGAAAAAATAGAAGAAACGCGTTTCCCCTGCACGAAATGCAACTTTCGAAAGTGACATATGACAACTTTAGCGACGGCGAGGCACAGGGTTTGCGGGTGTATATATATTTTTATATATATATATACTATATGCATATTTTATATGATGTTTTCTTATGGTTTCTTTTGTCTCTCTGCGTTTGGATTTCTCCGATATGTTTGAATATGTAGATATGGTGGTGGAAAACGAATGATCTAGGAATCTAAATGAACCTAATGGGAATCTAGGCAATAGGAAACCCATGAGCCTGAGGGGACAAAGATGGGGATGCCCTGATCAGATTTCCGAGGCCCGGGATGGGGTCAGACTGGTCAGAACACGTCAGCTGTGCACCGTGTTGTTCTCCGGCACGGCCTGTCCTGTCATAGGCTAGAAGATGCCCATTCAGTGGATCGCTTCGTCTTCCATGAGAGCTTCCAAAAGATGACACTTGGACAATTTGAATGTCAGGTTTTGTTATGTTTTGTTACTCTGTGCGCTCAACGCCAATGGTTTCCACGCTCGAGCTGAGGCGGATCTGTATCCCGGAGCTGCTTGATGAAGACAATGCGAGAAAAAACTGTGTGCTGATCGTGCTGTGAAAGAGAGCCGAGCTGAATCGGATACTGTAGAAATAACTTGGCGTCACCGCAATCAGTAGTGATCGTATATGCCGAGAGATTTTTTTGTTTAAGATGTATTTTAATGTATTAGTGGAGGACTCGCAGTCTCGCAGTGGTTCACCTTTGATATCCTTTGATCATCTTTGATCTATTTTTATTTCTGTAGAGAAGACCCGGTCTAGGGAGCTGGGTTGGGCTATGGCTTACAGTGCTAGGCTTGCGCATTGACGCCATAGGTACACTGGAACCACTCGAAAGGCGCCGCCTGCACCAAACCAGAAAGAGGAGAGGGCCAATAGAAATGAAGCATGAAGAGGGAACCAATGGGAACCAAGTGAGCTGGAAGGGTCCCACTTGTGTCACTTGAGGTTTGTCCATTGTCTTATTTAGTTCAAATTTTTTGCTTGATTCAAAGCCATTGAAAGGATTCAGCCTTGCCACGAAGCTCTGAGAGGATTCAGCAAGGTGCAAGCCGTTCCTAAAGAGCAGCCAGGGAGATAAGCTATTTTCACAACTTCTTCAACATGTGATAATATGTGTTAATCGCAAATCCAATATGATATGTGCTCACACACAGAGGCACATATTTATGCCAGCGGACCGAAAACCGTAGTCGTAAAACTATATAACGTTTTTGAGAACATGCAAGTACGTTACTAACTTCTCATTTTTGTATGAACCACTTCCAATTAAGTTACTAACTTCTCGAACCACTTGCATGGGATGGGGTGGGGTCGGATGGGGGGGTGGGCTATAAACGTCTTTTCTGCTAACAACATTAGCAACTGCCAAGTATATGACTAACTTTTCATATTGCAACTATGTTGTGGGCTCTTGTAACACAACTTGCAACTACGGTGTTATCTTCTCAATCAAGTTCCAACTGCGTTGTCGGCTCTTCTGACACAACTTGCAACTATGTTGTTATCTTCTTTTTCAAAATGACTCTTTAAAGACAACTTGCAACTACGTTGTCAGCTCTTGTGACGCAAAATCTTGGCAATGGAGGTACATAAACCGCAGTGCCAACTTGCAGCAGAAGACGATTGAAGCATTGAAACGCATCTTCTGACGAAACAATGCTATTTTTCAGACTCCACAAAAACCCTCCGATGAAAATGAGCTGTTACTGTGGTAAAACGCGAAACACCCAAATTTTGGCATCCATTTTTTGGAAGTTTTTCATGAAAAAAATACGCGTTTCGCCACAGTGCCATACTCATTTTTTGAAAAACGTGCTTTTACGAGCACGGTTTCCGGTCCGGCGGGATATTTATGCAGGTATGTAATTATCGAAGGAAGTTTAGAAGTCAAACTTCTGACAATATGGACAGATGAAAAGCAGAGGTGGTAAGAGTCAAAGAAGAGAAGAGAAGAGAAGAGAAGAGAAGAGAGGAGAAGAGAAGAGAAGAGAAGAGAGGAGAAGAGAAGAGAAGAGAAGAGAAGAGAAGGGAAGAGAAGGGAAGAGAAGGGAAGAGAAGGGAAGAGAAGGGAAGAGAAGGGAAGAGAAGGGAAGAGAAGGGAAGAGAAGGGAAGAAGAGGAAGAGGAAGAGAAAGAGAAAGGGAAAGGGAAGTGGAAGGGGAAGGGGAAGGGGAAGGGGAAGGAGAAGAGGAAGAGGAAGAGGAAGGGAAGAGAAGAGAAGAGAGTCGAGTGGGTGATTGAAGGCAGCATCAAGGCCGCAAACATGTGTTCGAATGGTGATCGGGCCAAATGAAGCCAGCACTTTCCACTTGGCACCCTCAGCGCTTCAGAGACACGAATTAAATCCGGTCTCTGAAGCTCTCAGGATGGCAGAATCATGGGTTAGACAAAGCCCGGTAACATTGGATGGAAATGTGAAAAACAGCAGATGAAGCTTTCCACTTGGCACCCTCAGCGCTTCAGGGACATCAGCTAGGATGCGGTCTCTGAAGCTCTGAGGGTGGCAGGATCCTGGATTAGACCAAGTCCGGTAACATTGGATCGAACTGTGAAAAAAGCAGCCGGTGAAGATTGGGGGGGCTTACTGGGGGCATTGTGGCTAATTAATTAATGAGGAACTTTAGTGAGGAATTCATTTTGTCTAGTTTAAATAATGGGTGACAGTAGGGTTTTACTGACCCAAACAAGAAATGCATCATAATGAAGTCACTTCATCGTATTGTAACCATCAGATTCCTATGAGGGATGAGGAAACATGAGGAAACCACGTAAAAACCATCAGATTCCTATGGGAAAAGATTTGAAAACCAATAAGAAACCATCAGATTCCTATGGGTCCAGATTAGAATACTAATGGTAAACCATCAGGTTCTTTTGGGGATATTCTATAGGTAATGAGCATTAAGTACTACCACCAATGAATTAGCTAACCCAGGCGATTATCAATCCAGCCCATGAGGGAAAACTCGGATCTTCACCTAGATCATGAGGGTTGAGGAATGATAATTAAGACAGTCAAGACACCAATGAGCAGGGGCACCCAAAGCATTGATCTATGCATGCTGGCTATGCATGCTGGCTCATCAGCGCTTTCATAGGGCAGCTGGTGAAGTAAATCATAAGCTCTTGCAGCAATGAGAGTGTGGAAACCGATCAGAGTGTGGAACATGTTCAGCCCGCTGATGGACCATGACGAGGACCAGCTGGATCGCGTGGAGCGTGATCAGGCCCATGAGGGGCCAAGCGGCATGATCTTTGATTGGTATGCGTTGCTTGTGTTGGGTAATTTATTACATACTGTTTCTAGTGCCAGACCATCAGAAATATCACCACACCTAATTGGTTATATAGTTAATCAAGAATGGCTTGATTTTAAAGTTTTATCCAGCAACAACAGCCCAAGGTTGGAGGCGGCGGAGTTTGGTTTCAGCGCAAATGAGACGGATCAGCTGGATCGCGGGGAGCGTGATCAGCCCCATGAGGGGCCAAGCGGCATGATCTTTGATGGGGATGCGTTGCTTGTGTTGGCTTCATAAACATTTCTATTTTGGCCCATGAACAACGAATAACAACCCAGGGGAATGCTATTGGCTGGGGAAATAAGTGCTTTTTTTACATTGTTTGTTAGTGAATGTGTTTTCCCCAGAAATTGTTCAATAATCATGTTTTGATTAGGTTTAAAAGTAGTAATTAATTGCAATGATTTATGGCAAGGCTTGAGCTGGCCGAGTTCAAGCATGAACATCAGAAGGATGACGAGATGAGCATCGCAAATGAGAAGGATCATGAGAATGAGCATGGTGATGAAGATGAGGATGATGATGAAAAAGCCATGAGAGAGACGATGCTCATGCCTGATGTCCCCCGTGTCCACCCAAGCATCAGGTGCAAAAATGAGGTTTTGGCCAAGCAGGTGAAAGACCAAGTAGCCCTGATGAGGTACATGAGGAGCAAGCAGGGAGCATCAGCCACAAAAGCATATCACAAGGACATGGCAGCACACGCAGAGCGCATGCATAAGGCACGCACCATGCAGGCAAAGGAGAACTATGAGAGAGGAGGCATCGCCGAAGTGATTGAGTCGATGCATCCCAAATTCTTAATATCTTGATCCCAGTTGTCTGAGGAACTCAGGCTGCCTCTATATGTTACCACCCGAACTGCAGCGCGGTGGACCTGAGCGCATGCTACTTGGCATGTTGCCCCCAGACTGCCCGGCACCAGCACCAACACATTTGAAACTATCGTTTCAATCACCCAACGAGCTATTTGCATCTATTTGAGGCTATCTTTGCAGCAGCTGGGGCAGCACGCGGCGGCACGTGTCAACTACTATGTCGCTGCACTCCTCATGGCTTCTCAGATGCATTGCTGCGGAACCTCATTGGGTGTCACTTTTCTCATGCAGGGGTGCATGTGATCAATCTCGACACCAGCGCAATGCGCAGGCCAACCTCCTTGTCCCCTGGGTTACCCTGGAGACTGTTGCGACGCAGCTGTGGGTCCAACAGCGGCCAATGCTTTGGAGGCACATGAGATCAACCTATGCACGTCCACGTGTTGCTTACATGTTCCACGTGCTCAGCCTAGTTGTGTCGAATATTTGCTCAGTCCTTGGAGGAACTCACATGTGCTGAGTGTTTTGCACGGATCTTTGACTCACTGGTATTGTGCAGGCTCTTCTGCCAAACATGCAGAGAGGCTGAAGCCAGAATGGCGCTGAAGGAGGTGTCCGAACACTTGGTGGCAATGTCCACCCCCCCGCCACTTCCTCCACCGCCCCCTCCTTCATTGCCTCCCCCTCCACCACCATAGCCTCTTTTCAGCGAGAAAAGATGGCGCGCCAAGAGCCTCTCCGTTTTTTTTGGTGACCAGCCGAAAATCTGGGTCACAATGGAATCGGTTGCACCACTTGGATCGACATTGCAGGTCTTAGCGGAAGACGGAGCACCGTATGCTCTATCCTTGGGCAACCTCAGTGAGGGGTGGTGTCTGTGTACGTAGGTGCCTGGTAACAAATTAAATGGTATCTTGCAAAGTGAAGAAGCTCATCTTTGGGCAGACGAAGGCTCGCATCACTCCAACAAGCCCCTTCATTGGCGGATGGCGCCGATTCCTACGTGAAAAGTGGCGGGCCCCTACCAAGAAGCAATGAAGAATTCTTAGTGGCAGTCCTTTCTTCTGGATTTCCCTGCTAAAGATGGGCGCTTCTTCAAACCAGTCTCCGGCTTGGGGCCCCACCTCCACCCAAACTCAACAACTCATCTAGTCACTAGTCCATCTAAGTTGCTATCATCATCACGAATATCATCGTGACTACCTGCCTCCAAAGGGATCAGACTTCTTTTATATCATCCTGTTCATCTACCCCCCCACTGATACCATAGTGCAGTGGCAGCTGATAGGACCTGCCAGGGCGCCATTCGAACCTGTTTGTGAAGACCACATCTATGGCATGTCGATGAGCTCTCCATGTTTTTGTTGATGTTCAGAGCGAAGCACATTTCAAAGTCAAAATGTGAAAAGCACCGCATGCTCGGACCAGCTTTGGACGTTCAGATGTCGTTTCGCGTGGCAGGCGCAAGGGATTGTGGATCTTGTCAAAAAGTAAGCAAAACGTGAGGGTTTTGTGGCATTTCGAAAGACGATGGCAGCCGTGGGGCATTTGAAGAGGATCTGCAAAGATGCATTTTCCGTGGCAGGTGCAGTACAAGAGACATGTTCATCAGAGCTGTTAGGAAGTCTGGCCGCTGATTTCCTGAGAGGGGTTGCATTTTGGGCATCAGATCTGTAGGTTTGCTAAGATGATGTTGCGTGACAGGTGCAGCACTTCGTATCACATGGCATCACTGTTTCGTGGCAGGCGCAGCACTTTAGACAGGTGGAGTGGAAAAATCGCAAAACGCATTGGTACAAGGCCGTCAGCTTTGCACTCAACTTTCCATTTTTGAAGGATGTCTCGCAGAATTGCTTACGTCTTGATGTTGTCAACATAAAAAAACTTAGGAAGTCTCGCAGAATTGCTTCGTTCTTGATGTTGTCAAGTGCAAAAATTGAGGAAGTCTCGCCGACTTGCTGCGTTTTTGATGTTGTCAAGTTTAAAAACTGAGGCAGTCTCGCCGAATAGCTTCGTTTGCAAGCTTGCAGATAGATAGAAAGAAAGATAGATAGATAGACAGGCAGAGAGAGAGATAGATAGATAGATAGAGTGATTGATTGATAGACACAAAGACAGATAGACAGATAGACAGATAGATAGATAGATTGATTGATAGAAAGTTTGATAGATAGATTAGATAGACAGATGCATAGATAGATTGATAGATAGATTGATAGATAGATTAGAAAGACAGATGCATAGATAGATAGATCGATAGATAGATAGGAAGATACATAGGATAGATCGGATAAGATAAGATAAGAATAAGATAAGAAAAAGATAAGATAAGATAAGACAGATAGATAGATAGATACATAGACAGAGAGGTAATTAAATGAGCGAGAGAGAGATAGATAGGATAGATCGACAGGTAGATAGATAGATAGATCGATAGATCGACAGGTAGATAGATAGATAGATCGATAGATAGATAGATAGATAGGTAGATAGAAAGATAGAGAGAGAGAGAGAGGGATAGATAGATAGATAGATAGATAGATAGATAGATAGATAGATAGATGGATAGAGAGAGATAGAGAGAGAGATAGATAGATAGATAGAAAGATAGATAGAAAGATAGATAGATAGACAGACAGACAGATAGATAGATAGAAAGATAGATAGATAGATAGATAGAGAGATAGATAGATAGATAGATAGAAAGATAGATAGATAGATAGATAGATAGAGAGAGAGATAGAGAGAGAGAGAGAGATAGATAGATAGATAGATAGAAAGATAGATAGATAGATAGATAGAGAGAGAGAGATAGAGAGAGAGAGATAGATAGATAGATACATAGATAGAAAGATAGATAGATAGATGCATAGATAGATAGAAAGATAGATAGATAGATATAGATAGATAGATAGATAGCTAGCTAGCTGGCTGGCTAGCTAGCTAGCTAGCTAGATAGGTAGGTAGGTAGATAGATTAGGTAGGTAGGTAGGTAGGTAGGTAGGTAGGTAGATTAGGCAGGCAGGCAGGCAGGCAGGCAGGTAGGTAGGTAGGTTGGTAGGTGCGTGGGTGGGTAGGGTTGGGTAGGGTAGGGTAGGGTAGGGTAGGGTAGGGTAGGGTAGGGTAGGGTAGGGTAGGTAGGTAGAAAGTCAGAGAAAGAGAGATTCAAAAAGAGAGAGGAAGAGAGGAGACCTCAACCACCTTTCGGTCCATCAGTGGCTTCGCTCTGCCATCCGTGATTCACAACAACCACTCTCTCCTATAGGTTTCCTAATTTTTGAAACTTCCGCCACCGCCTTGTGCGGTACTACTGGTATATGTATATATATATATATATACATAACAAAAATGTCCATCGATGATGGCAAGACTTGACCATCCTGGACCCGTCGCCGCATCCAGGTTGGATCCAAGTCACCAACCCCATTGGATCCAGTTGACTCGTTGCAGGCGATGACTCCGATGCTGAAATGGCGGTAGAGGAGATGTCAGAACTCAAGGGCTTCAACATGCCGTTGCCACTTGGCCCTGCCATGTGGGTAGATTGGAGCCATTGGAAAGCACAGCATCTCAAGGGATTAGCTGGAATTTTCTGTTCAAGCATTTGCTATGATTCAACATTGCCTGACTATTGAATAACTTGGGAACTTGCAGGAATAGATCGATCAAATGAATTCAAATGACCCATGTCGTTGATATGGCCTATGGCAATGCCCCTTCTCATCATCTCCCTTTCTGCCTTTGGGATGAGTTGGGCTGAACTAACTGTTTGGGATTGACGGTCAAGTCCTGCTGCCTTGCTCAGCGAAGGTCCTTCGGCAAGCAGAAACCAGTGAGAACTGCCAAGATCTGAAATATCAGATGAGAAGATTTCAATGCATCGACATCATATGTAAAGCATGGTTTATTCCAACAGCGTCTAACTTTGAATGATGTCCGGAATCAAAATGAAACTCAAATACAGCTGTCATCGTTCATTGATCAGGATTGATGACCATGATGACCAATGAACGTTGATTTGCTTCTGGATGTTTCACTCAGCGATCTCACTTTAGTCACCACATGTCTCCACATTTCACTTAGGCCGGCCCACAGGCACACAATGCCACACAAAGGAAAGGCCGAGGTGGACAGCACTGTATATTCCATCACCCTCTCATTGTCATCACAAATCAGAAATTGATTAAAAAAAACGAAAAAACAACATTTGCATCAGGCACATCAGCCAGGTGAAAAACCCGTGCCCAAGGGAGTGCAGTTTGGCCCCCGCATCACAGACGCTTGGGCCTTGGGCGAGCCTTGGCACCAGGTCCGGGTCCCTCTGCGTCCTGTTGCTTTGAGGTCGCATCAAAGGCTGGTGCCCAAGCCCGGATGGGACGAGCTACTGCACCAGAAGTACAACCAGGGCCGGAGGAAGATGCTGAAGAGGAGGTGTCAATTGCTGTCAGTTCGTTGATGTCAAAGCTGTGTTGAGGTGATTTTCTCAAAATGCATTTTGATTGGCATGGTTTGGGATGTTTTTGGTTTTTCTTGTGCATTTTACACATGTTGTTTTGGTGTGCGTGATGATCGTGATGTTGGACGTTGAGACTGGGAAGCGCATTTGTGTGTATTTTGTGTTGGGTCTTCGGAGGGCATTGCAAAAAGGTTTTGTAGGAAGCGCATGGAAATGCATTTCCTTCAGGAGGAACGAGTTGGACCGGCGATGCCGACAGGCAAAAAGATGATGAGCTCTTGTCAGCTTGTCATGAAACACACATGAACAAACACGAACAAACACCATCACACAACAACCACCATGCCTTGCCCAGGCAGAGAGGAGCCGGATGAACTGCCAGAGCCAGGGAAGGAGTTGGAGGTCATTCCAGTGACCCATGAAGTGGAGGTTCCCTGCTTTGCTTCTTGGCTGCCGAATTAGCTAAGATTAGCCAAACTTTTTTTGGAACCTGTGATGTTAGATTCTGTTAGATGGTCAATGACTCACAAATGGCTGCATGTTCATTGATTTCAATGGATGTTTCTGGATGTTTCGGGTTTTTGAAGCTCAGGACAAAGCTGTGACTGCAATAGGCTGGAAAACTCGCTGTGGAATTTGATTAGTGCTGAATGTGAACAGTGCAACTATGATGCCTCGCCCCCACGTTGCAAGTGGCCAGTCAAGGAAGTCGCCGTTTGAACATGTAAAGCATCACATGACACGAGATTCGAAGATGACTGGTTGCATATGTGAAATGTCAGTAAATCAGGAATTGCATCGAATTGCTGGCTTTCCCACCAGATGAATGATCAGAGTTTCGAAATGTTTCGAATTTGAATCGGCTTCTGGATCCGCTCAAAACATGTCAGGGCTGGATCCGAAAGGATCTCGGATGATCGCAGGCCCCAGCTTGGGGAGGGGGGGGAAACGAGCAACCCTCCGAGAGGTGAACGGTTGCAGTGGTTCCTGGTCGCACATAGTCATAGTCTTGAGCGAAGCAGAAGAATCATAAGAATGAATCCTTGCAAGAACAGGTATACAAAGCTTGCCAGGTGGCTTGGATGGCACGCTCAAGTTTTTCGACTTCCACGGCATGTCAGAAGCAAAGGCAGAGCAGCCAAGCGCTGAAGTGCACTCACAAAGTGCAGATGGCTCATGAGCGATGCCAAACTTTGCGGTATGTATGACAAAGTTTGAAGACCAGAAAAGGGTCCTTCGATCTTGTTGCAAGGAACAATCCAAAGGTATTCCAAAGGTCAAGTCCACTTGACAGTTCAAAAATTATCCTTTTGATTTTGGTCAATAGAAGATGATAGAAATTGATACTCTAAGTATCAAGAAAACAGCGAAAACAGCTGAAGGAAGCCTTCCGAGATTTGGAGCCGGTGGTCGGGAAGATGGTGCACTCCATCTCTTTCAGCACGACGGGTGGCCAGGCAGGAGCCCCATCCGAAGGGATGCGAATGGAATCGAAGTAATCGAAGTAATCGAAGTAATCGAACGGATGGGATGGGAGATGATGGGAGATGATGGGAGATGTGATATCACGATGATTCACGGTGTGATGTCATTATATGAATTATATATGAATTATATATGAATTATATATGAATTATATATGAATTATATATGAATTATATATGAATTATATATGAATTATATGTCATTGATGTGGCCGGGATCCAGCCAGGTGCTGGTGGTGTGTTCGGACGCTTCCGCGCGGATCTACGATCGCGATGGCGCCTTGGCATATCTTGGCTGGTCCTTGGTGGTACATACCATGTGAGTGGACTACCGGAGTTGTGCAATCGATCGTTTCCATATCATATTTCTTAATTATATAATCGTATGTATCATGGTGCCACATGGAGAAACTAAGGTTCGTCCACGCCCATTCAGCAGACAGTCTTAGGCTGGAGTGGTAGCATGTTTTTTTCTTTTTTCTTTTAACCTTTTGGTTTGTCATCTTTTGTCTCTCTTCCTGACTTGGGCTGAGCCTCTCAAGAGTTGGGTGAAGAGTCCTCACGGGCGTGAGTCGTGGCGCTGAAAGAGCAGTGGTACAATGGTACAGTGCAGAGTTTTAGCGCCAGCAGAATTGGTACACATGGTACACTGAACATGTTTGAAATGGAGGGTCCGATAGCTACCAGTGGAGAGGTTGTACCAGCTGCCTCAGCCACCCTGAAGGCGATATGTATGTGCGACAGATGGAACACACCAAGGGCCACACGCAGACCTTGACTGCGGGAATGTGGCATCCATTCAGGTGCAACCCGTACGATCCTATTTGCAGCTGCTCAGCAGCTGTGGTCTGTTGAAGGTTTAACACATCATACTTTCACAAGCTATGGTTTGCCATGACAATGGCCTCAACTGGTTGGAGATTCAAAGTTGAGCTAGAGCGACTGATTTCACCTTGCTTGCTGGGCAAGCTGCAAGGGACCCATGAAAGGACAAACATTGCCAGGAGTGAGCACTTCCTGACTGCCTCATTGGATGGTACCATGAGAATATGGGACATGAAACTCGGCGGTCAAGCTGTGGCTGAAAGTCCTCCACTGTGATTCATGTGGCATGTATCAGCATTTGCTCATAGTTAAACCATGTTGAACCATTGATCCGTTTGACGTGGTTTAAAAACCCACGAGGGTTGCCCTCGGACCAGCAAAACAACTGTGCACCCGGGGGAGGCACTGATGGCCGGCCCACTGTAGGACAGCAGATCCAGTTGGCATGGACCAACAGCTGCCATGCATCCATGTCCTGAAGACGGTGGACAAGCGCAACGTGTGCGTGGGTGGTGGCTCGGGCAAGTCCCTCGGCTAAGTCAGCTAAGTATAAGAGGAGCCATGACGGCCATGACCAGCCTTAAGATTCTTTATGATTCTTTACTTTTTTGCACAAACAGATTCAAGAAGAATCCCATCGATTCGCATTTCAATCAAGCTTCTTGCTTGTTTGAGACGTGTTGCTCGGCAGCTGTGCCCACAGGCAGGGAGGGCTTTTTCCCACTTGCTGCACCTACTCTCCCACAGATGCAAAGAAGATTGTGGCGGGATGTTCCTTGGCTGGAGTGTGGCGAGATAGATTATGAAAAGCCATGAGAAGCCCTTCTCTTCCTCAAAAAGTGATGGTATGTCACGGTGGTACCCCATGGCAACTGCTTATCTTCCAAATGATCCAAATGAGTTTTGGTTAGTGGTGTGGGGTGGGTCCCCTCAGAGTGGCACGTTTTTTCTTTTTTGGATAGAGTTTGCATTCGCTTGTCATGAAGTTAGCACCATGCAGAACTTGAAAAAAGGAAGCAAGTTTCTCTGCGTTGGGACCGTCTTAGGACCAGTTTTCAACCAGCCATAATCAGCCTATATCAGCCCGCCATATACCAGGTTCGGATGGCTCAGTTCAGCTCTTCTTTGACAAGGACTTGGGGCTTGTGTGTCCTGTGGGGCGTGCCGTTGGTTTTCCAGTCGTCCGCCCGGTCCTTTACTTTCTTCTCGTAGGAGCAACTCCTGCACCTGCCGTGAATGGTTCTTCTTTGGCTGTAGATCCACACTTCCCCCAAAGAATGAGTGCATAGTGGCGTTTCTCAAGAGAATGCCTGCAATATGTCAGAAGAGCTAGTCCGCTTGCCGGCAGGTACGTTTTTGTCAGATGTTCTTTTCGAGAAATTGAGCGCTTTTCTGCTAACCTGCCTTTTGTCAAAGGAAATGCACTAAAGATGTTGTAAAAGTCACGAAAGCTAGCGTCAGCTAGCTGGAGTCTTCTTGCTTTAGCAAGTATTGGAGGGGCTGCTCAAGGACATCACGTGATTTTTCACGCGAAAGGGGCCCCCCCCCCTTTCACGTGAAGGCCCCCTTCCCCCCCCCCCTCCCCCTCCCCCACCACCACCACCATCCCACCATCAACATCACCATCACATCATAATCATCATCATCATCATCATCATTGTTGAAATCAAGTGTACAACTTCCCTGTCTGTAATCTCAGCAGCTGTAGCCCACGCGCTGTACTTTTCACTAACTCAGGGTAACTCTCTTGTAACGCTAGCTCAAGGCTAACTCAAGGGTAACTCAAGGGCCCTGTATGGAGCCCAAATGTATCGTACCATGACATGTACTCAGAGTGGACCAACATGTTGTATCAGCAATTGTATAGCTCATGTACATGTGCAGGTGTATTCTTAACACCCTGCCTCAACTGCAACATGTGCTTCACAAACATTGAAAGAATCATTGTATAACTGAACTGTATTAAATCATGTAAGACATCAGTCATCTGCACAAAACTTTGCATCCGAAAATCCTGTACATCGATCGAAAACGTAGTGCCGTGTTGATGTACAGACATCTTGTAGCCAGAATTGTGTCAGATGGATGTATCCATGCAAAGTTACTCACATGTAGTCAGAAACCGTTGTAAGAAAACTGTAGCAGTATCCAACCATGTACTTCACAAATTCAGCCTTGTAGAGCTCGTCACCGTTGTAGATCAGGATGTACCCAAGGCGGTCTCGGGTGTAGCTCCTGGCAATGTAGCTGGAGCTGTAGATCCTGAAATCTTGGCCTGTAGCTTGTCCCGTGTATCTTGTGAACCAAGATTTTCATTTTCATCGAAGTTCTCCTTCACGTGTATGGTGAACTGAGCTGTGTACTGCAGCAATCCATGCTGTACATCAGCGGGCATGTATCTGGACAATGCCGTGCCTGCATGATGTAATGCCATAGTCAAAGCTGCATGTACTGGGTCAGCCGCTGGTCTGCCCAAAACATGTTGTACATCCAAGGGAATGTACTGGTTCCACACATAGCCACGGGTGTAGCTGTACTGCTGTAGGATCCTCATCCAATCCACAGTGATGCGTAGTACCCTTTGTGAGCCATGTTCTGTAGCGTTGAAAATGTATCGCTGCAAAACTTGTACTGCAAAAAGAACTGAAGTGAAAACCATCATGTAACCCTTGGGGTGAATGATGTAGTGAAAGATGAGGTGATCATGTACGTGTCAAACTGTATCACAATGACCATGTACCCCTTAAGGTAAACATACGTGTACATGATATACTCAATCAAGTAGGCTGCAGATACGTGTACACTTGTTGTGTTCGTATGCTGGTGTGTGAAACTGCTGTAGCTGGATTCTCCTCAATTGTCTGGCGGACGTATGCCCGCAGCATGTAAGTGCCATTGAAGCACTTCTCGTTGCACGTATTTTGTAAGTATGTCTGACGGATTGTGTTTGGTGTTGATTTTGTGTATGGAAAGGATGCCGTCGTGAATGAGGTGTTGTATGAACATGTATTTGAGTTCGATGTGTTTGGCTCGCTTGGACACGCCAATGCGTGTAGCCATGCTTTTGCCTGATGTGCTGTCAGTATGTATTTTGAGGCTGATCTTGTTGTGTAGGATCTCTCCCAAGAAGTTCTTGAGGTGTAATGCCTCTGTAGCACCTGTACCAATCGCGTAGAACTCGCTTTCTGCTGAAGAAAGTGCTACTACGGATTGTGTACGTGAACCAAAGTGAACTGTAGTCCCAAGGAATTGGATCACGAAGCCAGATGTACTTTTGCGTGTAACCTGGCATCCTGCCCAGTCTGCATCTGTGTAGACTGTCAGGTCGAGCTGTTCCTTGTTGTTGGGCTGTAGAAACACCGTTGGTTGTATCACGAACTTGTGGTGCTTTGTACCTGCTAGGTACCTGAGGCAATGTCGTAGCCGCTGTCTGTCGCGGACTGTTGGTTGTTGTAAAGAACGCGCTAGTTCTTTTACTGCAAAGCTCATGTCTGGTCGTGTGTATGAAAGCCATTGCAGCTTTCCGACCATACGCCTGTAGTGGGCGTGCTCTTCTGTGTCAAGGAGTTCATCCTGTTCTGTTGTAGGTGTAGTGCTGTTGGAACCTGTAGTGACGGCTGCTGTTGCATTTTGTAGGTTTGCTTCTTGTAGGATGTTGTCGATGTAACTGTTTCCCAAAGAGACTTCAAAGTGATCTCCTTTGTTTGTAATCTTCCTTCCAAGGAAGTCAATTGTGGTGTTTGTTGTGCAGGTGCCTGTATGGCGAAGCAACATCTTGGCCTGTATCTCCTTGAAGATGCGAGCGACCTCATCAGGTTCTCCTGTAAAGAGAAGATCGTCAACATAGACCATGATGTAAACTTTGCCATTGGTGTAGACATTGGGCTCTGATTGTAGTCTTTTTAGACCGAGGTCTGTAAGCACTTTTGCTAAGTGCTCCTGCCATGCTTTCGGGCTGCTTCGTAGACCATACATTGCTTTGTGTAGCCTCCAGAGGATGTTTGGATTGGTGTAGTACTCCTTTGGTGGTCTGAGTACCAAGCCTGCTGTTGCTGCGAGTGCGTGTAAGAAAGCGGTAGATATGTCACCTACCTGTACAATCCATCCTCTGGCCATGCTGAGTGCTAGGAGTATCCTTAGTACTGCAAAGAGTGGTGTACTTGCGTACACATCATCTTGGTCTTCGATGTGTTCGGTGTACCCTTTTGCTACGATCCTTGCTCGTACTTCATCTCCTTTGGATCTGTAGACCCATCTTGACTCGATGATGTTGTCGAGATCAAGTTCTTGTCTTTGTTGAGGTGTAAGCTTTGTAACATCTACCTCCTCATACACTCCTGGTGTTCTCATGGATTCCATCTCCTTTTGCATTCCTTGCTTCAACTTCTCTGTATCGAATCATTCGTTGTTGTAGATGTGAGGCTCGAGTAGCCTCTGTTCTGCTCGTACCTCCTGTGGGTCTTCGCTTGTTGCTGTTGTAATCTTCTTGCCGCTCTTCAATGCAACTGTAACTGCATTGATTCTCAATCTTGGTCTTGTACTGTCTCTCTCCTTCGTCTCTTCTGGTCTCGCTGGTGCTTGCTGTGTTGTACTTTGCTTTCTGCTCTTGCTTGCACTTCCTTCATGTACTTGGTCGTCCACTGGTCTGGTTGGTGAGCCTGTTGGCATTGGTGATGTTCCCAACCTCATTGCTGTAGAGTGTGTTGACGTTGATGCTGAAGCTGTGCTTTGCTGTTGTTCTTCGACTCTTTGTTTCTTTGTTGTCTCTGTTCTTGCTTTCTTTGCTTCTGTGTCTGCTTCCTTTGTGTCGGTAGCATGCTTTGCTGCTGTTGTTGGTTGATTGCCTGTACTCGTTTCTTCGTTGTGGTGTTTGCCCTGCCTGGACTTGTTGCTCTGTTGATGCTGGTGTTGGTGGTAGTATGAAAGCTGGCTGGAATCCAATTGGTGGTGTAGGATTCCATGGTGTGCCAGTGATTGTGTCCATCAATTGGTCATCGTACCTGTTTGTACCTGCTAGTCGTCTGATTGTACGTGAGCGTACAATTCTGCCTGCAATGCCAATGAAGGACTCTCCAGTGGATGTACATTTGCCGAGCCAAATGCCTTTGTAGAACCTGGGTTCAAGCTTTGGTCGTTGTTTGATCGACTGTACCATGTACATCACAGTCTCTCCAAATTCACAGAGAGCTGCATTGTGTGTTCGTCCCCATCTTTTGTGGTAGCTGGTGTAGCCATCTGCTCTGATGAGGAATCTGTTGATCAGGTATGCTGAGTGTCGTACTGCCCAAGCCATGATTGGGTGTGTTGTCGGCAGTCTTGTGTTGTAGTTCTGCTGTACCTGTGTCCTGAGTGTCCTAATGTGGCCAGCAAGTGTACGGTGGAATCTTTCGATGCTGCCACTGCTTTGTGAGCTGTATGCTGGTGCAAAACGCACTGTCATGTTGCCTGTTGCTTTGGCTGTAGCTCTAAGGAGCGCCATCAGGTATTCTTCTTGGTCACTTTGTAGTATGCCTTCTGCTCTTCCACATTCAAGAATGAATGCTTGTAGACATGCCTGTGCATAGGCAAACTGTCCTTTCTTGTCCGTAAGCATTGTTGCCATTGCCATGCCGGTCTGTATGTCTATGGCTGTCAGGATTGGTACCGGCCATTTGTCTTCATAGGTCTTGATGTAGGTGAAATCAACTTGTATGACTGGCTGTTTCGATGTTTGCTGTTGGTGGCTTGTCTGTCTGCCGCGAGATTGTATGCACACAGGACACCAACTCCTGTATGGCATGTGTGTAAGGTTGTGCTGTTGTATCTC